GTCCCCTGCGGCTCGGCCGGGCTGCGGTAGCCCAGCGAGCGGGCTCCGGAGCCTTCCCGCGCTGTATTAGCCCACGGCTCGGCCTGGACGCGACGAAGGGCTCCCGCGGAGAAGCTGAGAGCACTAGGGAGTCCTTAGGACCTGTAACTTGAGGGCCACGGAACTGCTACTCTCGTTTGCCTTTGGCGATCATCTTTAACCCCCGGAGCACGTCAGCATCCAGCCACCGCGGCGCTCTCCCTGAAGCGGAGGACTCAGGACTACCCCTTCGGCGAGGCGGATGGAAACCGAGCCCCTCCGAGGACCTGCCCCTGCAGTTCTGGCTCTCGCGGCTCAAGTCACCACCGTGAACAAGGGTGGGTTAATGCCTTTTCTTCTCCCCCCCCCCCAACACCGCTTTTCCCCCCCCCCAAATGCCTTTTCTTCCGCGGTATTTTCTGTCCTGATCTAGTCTCTTAAGTCTCCACACACATTCCTCAGAGTTTTGTAGCGTAGGTACGTGACAGCTCTACCTACATCTTACAGCCAGAGTAATTAACCAGGAATGTATGCGTTTGTGTGTCTCTCTGTTGAATCACCAGAATTCTTCATAGGGGTTAAGCTAAAAAGCTAGGAGAAGAGCCCCTCTCCAATGGTTCAGTTTTGCTGAATAATCACGTGTGAATCGAGGGGCGGGCTTTTGGCAGGCAGATCTTACTAGTATTTACTACCGAGCTCTACTCCAGATTAACCATCCCAGTCCTTCTGTCAGTCTCCGATGCCATCATGCAGCCTGATTAGGAGCAAAGGAAAGGGGAAAAAGAAAAACAACTAATTCATCTTTTCCCGATCGTCAGGACCCTAAAGAATGGCCGAGCCCTGGGGGAACGAGTTGGCGTCCGCAGCTGCCAGGGGGGACCTAGAGCAACTTACTAGTTTGTTGCAAAATAATGTAAACGTCAATGCACAAAATGGATTTGGAAGGACAGCGCTGCAGGTTGGTATCCAGAGAGGTGGGGAAAACAGGTCAATAATGTTGCCTACGTGACCGGGGTTTCTAGAATGACAGCTTTTAAGGTTTCAGGGGTACAAAATTTCACTGTTTTTAAACCTAGTTGGTTGCCATATTTTATATCTTTAAGTGGATCCAACTCCCCAAAATGACGTACTTTTAACAAACTCGTCAAATCCAATAACATCCTCTATATCAAGTGGGTTCCAGGTTCGGTCTTAATTTTTGGAATGTTTTTGTGACGGTGGGGAGTTTAAAGTAGTCTTAAGCAGCGCCGAGGTTTGTTTGTTTTGTTTTGTTTTGTTTTCAGACAGCTCTGTAAACACATTATTGTGAATATTATTTGAAGTAAATACATTGCTATTAGTGGTTTCTCGTCCTTTGCTCCCAATAATTGACTTTAACATTAATTTTCTTGACTACTGGCAAGGGTGTTTTTCCTTCAACTGCTTCAAGTTTTGACAAACGACCTTTCCTCGTTTGGAATGGGTGGCCAGGGCACCGGGACAGGATGTACATTTCACAGTTAATGTAATACCATCCACCCATTCAGGAATGAGGAGGAATAAAAAGTTGAATTTTCTAATCAGAACTCAGCTGCACTGTTTTTGTCTCTGCGGTCATGCCGTGGTATGCTCTAATTTTCAGTAATTAGATTTACAGGCAACAGTTGACACATTTCCAGCTGCCAAGTAGCGTACCTGATAATTTTTTTCCTCCTCTGAACGTTATCATGTAACTTGGTTGAAAGGCTTAGAAACAGAAAATGGCAAGTAATCTCAAGTAGTTACTTTATCCGAGTCCTGATGGTATTCTTATGAGCTATTCTTATTCGGAAATGCAACACTTGAAACTGTTTTTGAAAACTCTTTGGGGAGAAGGTTTTTAGAGGACTTTGTTTCATTAACATGAATTATAAATTTAAGTGTCAAGAGATATACTATTAATATTAACAAATGAAGTCCAGACAGTATGTACATTTTAAATCAGAATACACTGGCCTTGCAAAAATTGTCAGTATTAAGGAATCTTACGCATAGAAATTAAATTATTTATCTTGTTATTCCTGGTAGATTAAGTAGAAAAAAAATATTTTTCCTTTCTCCACCTAGTAGTTTTAACAGGTTTGGTGCTAAGAGCAATGTCACAAATTTAACATATTGCACAGTTTCATATTGAAAACTTAAAAGATTTATAAATTTCACAGAGAATGAGGCTCTTAACCCATGTTCAGTCTAAGAGTTTACAGGACCTCTGACGAACAGGAAAATTAGTAGATTAATACTATTAAAAAGTTCTGACAAACATTTTTAATGCAACTCTGCAATCATGTTTACATTAAAATACTTATCAAGATACTAACACCTCCTTATTGTGGCTTAGTTCTAGTACATGTAAGGAAACACACACACACATATACAGAAGTCTCAAGGCATATTTTCAGTATGTATAATCCTGACTCTGAAGTTATGTCATAACTCAAAGCAAAACCATTTCCAGTATTACTATTATTTTCTGTGGAAGATTGCAAATTTTCTTCTACAGTTACATTTGTTTAACTCAATTGCAAAAACTTTTAACCTCTTCTCAGTGTACAATTTTCAGTCAGGATAATAGCAAAGGCCTTAGTTGTCATACATTTGCTTTACAAAGATACAAGGTATCTATTTCTTATTTTTTCTCAAACTCAGGTCCTTAACTCATTAAAACTTTACAGACAGTTGTACAAAAATTACATTGTACTAATTTTTAATAACCAAAAAGTATATTTCATTGAAGTTCTTGAAAGATAAATTATACGTCCTTTTTTACCATTGCCTCAAAGGAAAAACTAAAAGTCAACAGAGTTCTATCAACCGGGAAGCTTATTATCTTGACTATCTATATAGTTTGCATTTATAAAATATTATTAATTCTAAATATATTTTATTATATTCCTTCTGATTATTTTTAAACACACATTATAAAGAGCTAGAGCACCTTCGTATGCATTTTCCAATGGATTATCATTTAATTTCATAAACTTGAGCGACCACTGTGCAAACCTACTCATAAATTTAGATTACTGTAAGTGTATAGAAATAGAAATGAAACCACCTAAAATGGTATAAATTTCTGGCATACAATGAATAGTAATATTTTTCACAATTAAATTATATATATATTAGGTTTGCATGCTCCTCCAGAAGATATTTTATAATTAAGAGAGACTAATAGAGACCACATATTAGAGGGAAGTATATTCAAATAGTAGATAGGTCTTTGCAATGTGGCTTATTTGGATATAGAAAACAAATGTTAATACCACATTCAAACTTTTAAAATGTTGACAGCTTACAAATAGCTCTTCCTAAATACTTGATAATAGCTGCAAAAGGAAATAAGACGGCATCACCAGTTGATTATTAAATAGGTTCAACTACAAGACAAAGCTGTCTGTGTGCTCAAAACACACATTAAGTATCTTATTGTTTCTTCTTTTGCTCACTTGAAAATCAAGAGGCCAGTTAGAACTTTGAGAAACAGTAATATAGTATGATCACTGTTTTTTTTTTCTTTTTAAGAACTGTTGCCATACAATCATTTCCTTTCTAATATAAGGCATATCATTAACTTAATTTTAGATAAATTAATGTAAACAATAGAAAACACTCTTAATTAACATCTTAATAATCTGTACCATCTTGTAATTTGAAATGAAGGATTCTAAGCATAAAATACACCTAGTACCCAATAACTTGCCATGAAAAAATATTTTTAAAAAACTCTTAGAGATTTGGGGCTATCTCTCTTTGGAGGGAATCTGCAAAAACAATAATTTAAGACTGGATCCAGTCTGGATTTTTAATAGCTCATTTCAACATTAGGTGATGGAGTCTGATCTGATGTGTTAAACACTTGCTTTGATATTTAAAGAAACTCATCATCCTTAATTGTTTTCAGTCACTATTTCAAAAATAAATTTTACCCATACTTGATTTTCCATAATTAATACCCCAGGCACATTTTGTGGGCATGAAGAAGGAAACAGGATACTCTTATTTAACTCCCCAATTCCACTCTTTTAATAAATTCATAAAATTACACAGTTCTTCGTGGGAGATAGAGAACTGAGTTGTCAGTGACTTTTAGAGAAGTTGCATAAATAAATTCTATTTTATTGATCAATTTCTCCTGCTTTTGGGCCCATTTAAGATATTCCTCCATAGGAGCTCAATTTTTAAACTTTTTTTCTATTTTTACTTACTAATACTTTCCTGCAACTGAGTCCTTCAAACCCCATCCTGTGAATCTTCCCCATGAATTCTATCAAAAATAGTTACATAAAGAGAAAGGCATATTTTTAAACACTCCTGTAGCATGAGCATGAGCATCTTTACTTCTCTTCTAGGTTATGAAACTTGGAAATCCAGAGATTGCCAGGAGACTACTACTTAAAGGTGCTAATCCCGATTTGAAAGACCGAACTGGTTTCGCTGTCATTCACGACGCAGCCAGAGCAGGTTTCCTAGACACTTTACAAACTTTGCTGGAGTTTCAAGCTGATGTTAACATCGAGGATAATGAAGGGAACCTGCCCTTGCACTTGGCTGCCAAAGAAGGCCACCTCCCTGTGGTGGAGTTCCTGGTGAAGCACACAGCGAGCAATGTGGGGCACCGGAACCATAAGGGGGACACCGCCTGCGACTTGGCTAGGCTCTATGGGAGGAACGAGGTTGTTAGTCTGATGGAAGCAAATGGGGTGGAGGGAGCTGAGAATCTGCAATGAATGTGGGGAGGGCTTTCCAACATTCCAACATTGCCTTTACTTTCTCAATTAAGTGGCTGGCAGTCCTATTTTAATAGCATTTGTTAAAACACAGGTTTTTCATATTTTAAGCAACTAGTTAAGTCTTCTGCAACTGCATAAGTGGAAATCTTACTACAGGTTTATGAATATATTTAAACAATATCTTTTTCACCTGCAAAATCCTGAGTTCTAACTTGTAATGGCAAATAGCTTTGGCTTTCTTCAGAATATTTTATCTTTCCTTGACTTTTTCCTTGTTTCTCCCTTTGCCAGTCTCAATACCCAATGTAGAGACTTTGTCTTTAAAATTATTTGTCCTGATGCTTCTTTTGCCCAATTAAAATACTTTCAAAATAGGATGTTTTCTGTGATTTTCACTCCTGTATAACCTACACACAATTTGCTACTTGCTAAGGAGTATTGTATTGAAAGTTTGTGTTTTATATCTTGTTAAGAGAAAAAGTACACCAACTGGAAAACTAGACATACTCTTATTTATCACTTATTCTTTCCTTCCTCTCCGCATGACCCACTCCCCAAGGTTTTATGTAGTGTTTAGTATTTCTGTTTTAAAATACAATAAGAGCAGTTGTCTATGACCAAACTTGAAATTATTTCAGTATAAATTTCTCCTAATGTTCTAATCGGTCCTTTTTTTAACGGCAGTCAAAGAGTTGAAAGATGAATTTCAGAAGTATCAATTTGAAAAAGTTAAAAAGTCAGGCTTTTTAAGAAAATGCCACCAAAAAGCTGCTTCCTATTAGTTGATTTTTTTAAATCACAAAGTGAAACAATTGGTTAAGTAATGCATTTCCCAAAATTGTAAGAATACTAAGTGTAACACTGGCTTTTTCTCCCTGTTAGAAATGTAAAATGGCAAAATATTTAAATGCAAATGTCAATTTTTAGCAGGATTTAAAACTCAGCAAAAAAGTATGAATTATATATAAAGAGCATATCTATTTTAGGGTCTGTAGAATACTAGAGTAGAAATCTTTACAATTGAAAAACACACTCCTACATATGACATTTGGTTTCCACAAAACTTTTCAAGTAAAGGAGTATAAAATCTTTTTAGGAACATGTTTGCTGAAAAAATTTTAAATAGTTTTTGGAAGGAACTAGAAATAACACATTTCTGAGAGGATTTTCCAGGACCTACTACTTACTGTCATTTTATTTAAAGATTTTTATCAAAGGATTTCAATGCAGTAACCGTTCATAAATTTATAAATACTTTATTCATTACCTCCCACATGAACAAAGATGTTTTATGTGAAAGTTCCCTCCTTCTCCTTCATAAGCTCTCTGCCCTCGCACCAAAGAGAACAAAATACTTCAAGGTTTATTGAAGGGCATAATTCTGATGCCTGCCCTAACAAGGATTGGAATGGTTGCAGGCAAGTGGTTTTCAATAACTTATTTTCCATGATAGTATAAAAGTATATAGGAGGAAAAGGTCACTCACACCTTCTCATTTTGCACTAAAAATCATAGTCCCTAAGTTTAGTGCAAAGGACTTTGATTTCTGCCACCTTTAACCACAAGTTACTCAAGTTGTTTTTGATGACAATATGAAATTAAACTTGTGTATTTTTTTAGGGAAAAGGCAGAAATGGAAATGGTTTAGAAGGGAAAAGTGTTGTACTTTGGATTTATTGCAAAAAGAGTCAATATACAAAATATACTGCTTTAATAAGCTGAATATTTTCTAAACACAACACTTACTGAAAGTAATAAAAGCAACCCTTCTCACAAGTTGCAGCCATAAAGATGGACGTTTCTGGACTTAAAATCCAGTTTAATGAACTCTACAGCAACCACCATGTCTTGGCATTTACTGTATTTCATAAAATAAAATTTCCCCCTAGAGATTTCAAATATGAAGGCATAGGACGTTCATAAAGCAGAAGAAAAGTACTTCTGCAATTGCTTTGTTCTCGGGTGGTCGGATTACAATAGGGGAGAGGGAAGCTCTATCTCTTCATCAGCCTAAAAATTTGCTAGACATTAAAACATAGGCCATATTATTCTGGCTCTTTGCAGGAAGTAACCTTACTAATCTAAGTATTTTATAAATGAGTTCTGTGGTCCGCCCTAGGAAATATAAAAAGCCATTATTCAGTCGGTCAAAAACCTCGACAATATTCAGTAAGACTGAATGTGGTGAATGTACATGACAGAAGAAAAGGTGCTGCTGAGTTTAATGGGGTCTAATTTGAAACGAGCAGAGTGGAAAGGAGTCTGAATTTATTCAGATGCAGAGAGTGGGGAAGCAAGGGCAATTTATAGTGTCCAGAGGCTGCGGGCGACAACGCCTTATAGAAAAGATGTGGGATCCAGGTGAGATGCTCCGGTTCACATCCACATTGGGAAACTCCCCCGCTTGGTCTTTGCTCAGTAAGCTGAATCCAAACTTACATCTGGGGGAAAGGGGACTCTTAACAGGACCTCAGTCCCCGTTCTGGTCCCCGAACCACTAAGCTAAGTCATATTATGGTAGCGAATCAATAGTTTCCTGATACACACTATGGAACTCGCAGTGCTGTGATGAGCTCAAGCACACACCACGCTGGTGGACCGACTCATAAATAGATGAAGCATTTTGTCCTGGGACAGGAATTCACTTGGCAATATGATAAATTTCCTTATCGTATTGATCAAACAAACATGGGATGCATGGCCCGGGAATGGATTCTAAATCTCAGTTCCCAAAAAGGTGCTTTCGGCTTTTACGGGGGGGTGGGGGGTAGAAATGAGAGAAGAGCTGGAGGACCAAGGGTGCTGGAGCGAGAACGGGTCGTACTTGCAGCCTTCCTGACTGCCCGAAGCAACCTTCACCAAAGACCACAGGGGAAAGTCCCCGTCTTGGTCTCTGGAGACGGTTTTGCTTTTACACTGCAGTTCCATGAACACAGTTGCACGCAGAGACCTAAGTGAAAGGCAGGAGACAAAATTCCCGCCTGACAGCGGGTTCAGTTCTGCCCAGAGCCAACCCAAGCCCTCACCTGAGGGCTGCGAAGACATCCTTTCTGTGGGTCTGAAACTCTTTCTCCTGATTCCAATTGCAGCCCCTGGCGCCCTAGTGAGGAAGCTGGAGCCCGGAGCTCCCTCCGGGCGCGCAGAAAAGCCCGGGGTGGGGGGTGGGGACGCTTCAAAACCGTTAGCCGGAGTTTTTTTTTTTTTTTTTTTTC